CAGCCGCTTTGCCAAGGAAGGGCCCAGTTTGACGCTCGCCTCCTTGTACACCGAAGGCCGCCTTTGAGTCTTCCTCTGCGCTCTCCATGGCGGGGCGGCTTCAGACCTCGTGGTTGGCCTGTCCCTTGCTGGATGGCTCTGGTCGTATGGTGGTATCTAGAGTAGTGGTGGTGCTCAAGTGTTTTGAACAAGCTGCCAGCCAATTTTCCAGCAATGGCAAGTTGTTCAGCACCCCGTAACAGCGCGTTGCTGCTCTACGTTACCAGCTTACGGGTTTAGAGCTGTTCTTGCCAACGCATCATATACAAGTATGAACGCACCTGCGCTCGCTGAGAGTTTGGTGCATGGTTCCTCATGCCCCATGGCAGGCTGCGATCCTCCCGCGCCCCTTCCCTCCCTTCCTCCCTCCCGAGCTGAGCTAAACCACCTCGGCCACAACCCCTGCACCTTGCAAGGCAACTTGAGGAGCACAGCGGGATCCAGGGTTGGGCTGGTGATCTAAGCTGAGAGATTCCTGTGCTTCCCGTGACAGGTATTTATTAGCGAGAGGTGAAGTTTATAGGGGGATTTCACTTGTCATTAAAAATTATTGGAAATGTTTACATTTTATTATTATACATACATACATATATATACAGTAATCAAAATGAGCCAGTAAATACGAGCTGTGCACCCCTCAGACAGTCAAAATGTGTATGTGCTGCTTTTCCTGTAGACTTTCAAACACACGGTTGTATTTCAGGGCTTAAAACTTTTCATTTTGATAACTGTGTATGTGCGTGTGTGTGTGTGCGCGTGTGTGTGTGTACAACACCACCGGCACAGCACTAAGTCCTTTGAAATCAGAAGCTGCCAAAAGCCTTCTCCATACGTTCGGAAGTAAGTTCTTTGCTTGGTGCCTCCTGTAATCTGACAGAAACATTGCTGTTCTCCATCTATGCCTGAGGGGAAGGATATGAGGTGTGATTTCAGGGCATATGTGGATCTGTTCATCCTGAGCAATGCATTTTAAGAGTTGCAGCAAATAGTGTAAAGAAACCTACAGGTATTACATTAGACCAGCTGAACCTAATTTTATTTTTAAGTTTTATTCAGAAGCATCACATAGCAAGTAAACTTCAAAATTTAAGTTTAGTTACAAACTAGTTGTTTCTTATTTTTTTTTTCCAGTCCCCTTTTGCTTTCTTTTACGACCACATGAAACTTGAGAAGCCATCTAAAGCTAAATCATTTAGTGGAGTTGGGCAATTCCCAAGTGTCCAACAAGAAGGCCTGGTTTAGGCTGCGATGGCCACTGTCATTCCTGGTGATTTGTCAGAAGTAAGAGATACCCAGAAAGTCCCTTCAGGGAAACGTAAGCGTGGTGAAACCAAACCAAGAAAAAACTTTCCTTGCCAACTGTGTGACAAGGCCTTTAACAGTGTTGAGAAATTAAAGGTTCACTCATACTCTCACACAGGAGAGAGGCCCTACAAGTGCACACAACAAGACTGCACCAAGGCCTTTGTTTCTAAGTACAAATTACTAAGGTATTAAACTCTATTTATCTTTCAGATTATATTATCTATTTTATGTTGGCCGTGTTAAGCCTTGTAAAAGTATATATTTGTGTACACCTTCAGCTGATTGCAGAGAGGATATGTTGATTAAAGTAGACATGGGATTGTTTCTAGAATTCTAAATTACAGTACATAAGTTTGCAAGCTAATGTCTTTGGTTTTGTTTCTTGATTTGTTTTCTGTTTTTGTTTTCTGTTTGTTTTTTTTTAATGAGAATAGAATTTTCATTTGTATAAGGAATTGTCACAAGAAAAGAGTATGGACTGAAAAAATCTTTTGTCTATGGACTTTTACACAAGTACTTTCATACTTGCCCGTATACCCCTGTTGCAGTAGCTAAAAAACAGCAGAAACTAAAGTGTCAATTTAAGAGAAATGGCTCGTGTTTTGTTATATTTTAATTTGTCCAACTGTCTATGTAGTGTCATGCTTTCAGTTAAAAGGCTCTGTTGCAAAGCATCCTTAGTGTAGTATTTAGCTGCCATTAAGAAATGAACACATGTATCTTTTTGATCAAAATAATTACTTACAGAATATATCTGTGTTTAAAGGCATATGGCTACTCATTCTCCTGAGAAAACCCACAAGTGTAATTATTGTGAGAAAATGTTTCACCGAAAAGATCACCTAAAGAATCACCTACATACACACAATCCCAACAAAGAGGCCTTTAAGTGCGAAGAATGTGGAAAGAACTACAATACCAAGCTTGGGTTCAAACGTCACCTGGCTTTGCATGCTGCAACAAGTGGTGACCTCACCTGTAAGGTATGTTTGCAGACTTTTGAAAGCACAGGAGTGCTGCTGGAGCACCTAAAAACTCACGCAGGCAAGTCATCGGGTGGAGTGAAGGAGAAAAAACACCAGTGTGAACACTGTGATCGTCGGTTCTACACCCGGAAGGATGTCCGTAGACACATGGTAGTGCACACTGGAAGAAAGGACTTCCTCTGTCAATACTGTGCACAGAGATTTGGGCGGAAGGATCACCTAACGCGCCATATGAAGAAAAGTCACAACCAAGAACTTTTGAAGGTCAAAACAGAGCCAATGGACCTTCTAGATCCCTTTACCTGCAATGTTTCTGTGCCTATTAAGGATGAGCTGCTTCCAGTGATGTCTTTACCTTCCAGTGAACTGACATCAAAGCCATTTACAAACACTTTGCAATTAAATCTCTACAATACTCAAATTCAGTCCATGCAGAGTTCTGCATCTGCACACCAAATGGTCGCCACATCGTTGCCATTGGGAATGCCTTGTCCAATAGATATGGAATCTGTCCACCCTTCTCACCAGCTATCTTTGAAATATCCGCTCAGTTCTACCTCATACGCAATTTCTATGCCTGAAAAAGAACAGCCATTAAAAGGGGAAATTGAAAGTTACTTAATGGAGTTGCAGAGTGGTATGCCTTCTTCATCCCAGGATTCTCAAGCATCGTCATCAAAACTAGGGCTGGATCCACAAGTAGGGCCACTGGATGATGGGGCTGGGGAGGTTTCCCTTTCCAAGAGCTCCGTTTCTATTAGCGAACCTCTAAACACCCCATCATTGGACTTTTCTCAACTCTTCAACTTCATACCTGTAAATGGCCCTCCCTATAATCCTTCCGTTTCAGTGGGAAACCTTGGGATGAGTTACACACAAGAGGAGGCACATTCTTCTATGACTCAACTTCCACCACAAACACCGGATCCACAAGATCCTAGCAATAGTATAGGTCTTGGGTCCCTGCACTCGTTGTCAGCAGCTTTCACAAGCAGTCTAAGCACAACCACGACCCTACCACGATTCCATCAAGCTTTCCAGTAGGATGTACAAAGCTGGCTTATTACTGTCGATTTGTAGAAATGCCTTAGGTGACCATTTTTAACTTAGTGCCTACGATAAGACATTATCAATTCTCTGCTTTTGTACAGTACCGATCTCATGAAGCCAGTAAGAAATTTAAGTTAACTTTTTAAAAAATGTTTTGAAAGTGTTTATTCTCAACTGTTTACTTTGTTTTCTAAAAAAAGTCTCCTTGTATTGTTTTCATTTTCACTGCCAATTGACACACGTAAAATGTTCAGTAGAAAGTCATTGCTACCAAATGTTTTACACTCATACTTTTAAAAAAGTTTTTCAACTGTATCAGTCATTCTGTTTTACTGATTTCAGTGGTAGAACTACCATTTTTACCTTCTATGTATTTTAGTGTTTGCAAGTAATCTAGTTAAAACATATATCTCACAGATTCCTGAAGACTTGGGAAAGAAATCCCTAGTCCCTTTCCAAAAAAGAAAACCCTTCCCAATGGCAACATCTGATCTGTTCTATTATGACAAATCTAAATTTTTTAAATAGATATATAAATCAGATTTTTCTGAAGACTTGTGTGTGTATATATAGAAGTCCATATATACACACGTACTTATATATAACATTTGACTTGTATTGAAGTCATTATAAAAGGTAATTTGGCCATTTTCTGGCTTAAATTGTTGTGGCCTGTTAGAAATATTGAAAGAAAAGAAATTTATTTTAATTTTCTAAAACCATGATTTAATGGAAATTGAGAGAATCTCTGCTTGCTAAATGACAAATGTTTCCAGTTGAAATTGGAACTGTGTTGTGCTTTCAAGACTCTGGTAGAGGGAAACAGGCAAAAAAAAAAAAAAAGATGGCTGATCTTGAAATATAAAAGTGTTGTAATTTAGTAATGCAGAATATTTTGTCGCAGTTTTTGTTTTAATTCTTAACTTGCTGTTTTTTTCTCTTTAGTAGCATAGAAAGAGTACTGCATAGGAAACTTCCAGTAGTGTATTCACACTTGTAGGCATCAGTCTTCTCCCAGCTGCCACCGCCAAAGGGTGGATCAAGTCCAGCCAGGAACTCTGTCCGTTCAGTACTAGTGTGCAGTCAGAGAGTGAATGTAAATTTGCAAATACCATTTTTTTTTATTGGAATGCTCTTTTCACTTGTGTTTCATGGTGTGTTATGTCCTCCTAAGCAACAAGTTAGATGTTAATCACGCTTTCTACACCTGGGTACTTGGTTAGGGACGTTTCGCCCGTTGCCAAGATTTAAAGACAGGACTCTTAGGAGTGAAGTAAAAGCATATTGCTTACACCACTTTTACCTAATACAATATAGTCTATTCCCCAAGCCCTTGTAACCAAAAGAGGAAAAAACAAACAAACAAAAAAACTGTGTTGCATGAAAGCAAACTAGATTTGCTGTAATTCAATACTGACAGCCTTTTCCTTGTCATTTTTGTACAAGGAATTAAAAAATAGAAACTGAGTACATTAATATCTCTCTAACAATAATGAGGATTCATGTAAGGTTTTAAGTGGTTAAACTAAATATATACTTCACAGAGACAAAAGTTGCTCCCATTTAAGGAGCTTATGCTCCAAATGTTTTATCAGTAGCTCCTACTTTTTTTTTTTAATTCTAGGAGCAATATGCAGGTGTAGTTTTACTATTTTATACATATGTGTATTTAAATTTTATTACTGAAAGATAACATTTTTATAAATGTGTTTGTGTTCCAAAGGCATTAAAATAAGGATGTATTAATAAGGAAAACACCTTTTCAAATTCTTCAAACTACTCCTAGATTTTGGGCTTAGGAGCATATTATCTCAGTGTGGGCTTTTAGCTCTGCTTCAGGACTGCTTCCTCTGGTTTCTATGAAACAGATCGCTTGCTTGCTTACATCTTTAGTTGAATGATTCGTTCAATATTGCTTTTTTTTTTTCTTGTCACCTTTCTAAAGGAAAGAAAAACGCAGACAAACAGAGCACAAGGCATATAGAATGTAATTCTGGTTTCAATCAGCAGCCGCACATGCACATAGGAGGAACCCGGGGTTTATTCTCGGGCTCTTGCATCAGTTTGAGATGAAGGTGAAGGCACTTGGTTCCTCCGGTGGGACGTGTCCCGTGTGGAACTGAGCACCCGCGAGGGCCCTGGTGCCCAGGGCATCTCCCGCTTCGCCCGCGGTGCCGACGCTGCCGGCAGGGGAGGCGCTCGCGGCCTTGGTGGACGGGTTGTTTGCCGAGCGCCTCACGGCTGCGTGCGCGTGTGTCCCTAATTTCAAACCTCTGGGGAGTTTCTGCCCTGGCGCGGAGGAAGTGACTTCTTTGAGCTGCAAGTTAGTTCAGTCTTTGCTGCCCCGGCCAGCGCAGGGTGCTTGGAGGGACGGATGGCCACGCGGCTGAGGGGATCTGATGGGTGTCCCTAGCGCTGAGCGCAAGGCCCTGCCATCCCATCGTCAGTCGCAGTTGCTGATTAGACTTGATCAAACACAACAAGCGACACTTTGCCAGCACCTGTTTCTTAGTACGTAGCCAGGATCTCTACTACTCTCTTAGTGCCTTAGCTTCCTGAAAAGGGATTGACATTTCACTTCGGAGTTAGACATTTCATTTCACTTGAGAAATAGGGACCTCAGACAAGATATTGAACCTCATTCAGTCAGGGCTTCAGGCGGCGGCTGCTGCGCGGCGGTGGCCGCTGTGCCGGGCCGTGTGCTCGCGTGGAAGCGCAGTGACACTGTAAGCAATATTAACACGTTCGTGCTTTCGGATTTCACTTGGGCAGAGGCGGTATTGGCCACTACTAAAATGCCGTGTTTTTTAAACCCTGTTTTCGAGATTTCGGATTGCCTCTTGGAGGGAGGGGGGAGGGCTGGCTGATCATGCACCACTCTTTGTGCAACTTCTAAACTTCTAGTAAGTTTTTTGTTTTGTTTTTGTTTTTTTTTTAATATATATATTTTTGTGTACTTGTTGCTTGTGCTTTATTTAGTAGTTAAATTGTGGAATAGAGTGATTTATTGTTAATTTGGCAGTAGCGGTTTTTAAAAACCATATACTGACTGAAACATGAGCCAGAGCTGATTGCTTTATTAAGCTAATAATGAATGTTAAGAGTACATATTTTCAGGATCATTTGCCTAGTGAGCTAAACATGTATTATAGGCCAATATTTTTTAAAATAAAGCTTGGTCAACCTCTATGTTACACATATTACAAGATATAGCACTTTCAAAAAGAAAACCTAAACCTTTTAAGAAAATTTCTTACAGGTTATGCTTTTTATTATAAAACCTTTTATTATAATTTGTTTCAAGTGCCATTAGATTACATATATGTAGGCCTTTGGTATAATGCTTTGTGTACAAAATGGTAGACATTGTAATTTTAAACAGGTACATTTTTACAGTGTTTTCTTATCAATTTGCTATATTGCACAGAACCAGTGTGTCTTTCTTAAGGGTTTTACAATGGTTTTTACTAGGTTTACATGTTTCAAACTACACTGTCTTCTACTGCCATTTTGAATACCAGTCAAAAAAGAGAATAAGTTATTCATCCTCGCCAATTGTAAACTGTGTCCTCTGGAGTTTCGGATGATAAACCGCTGCAGAAATATTTAACATGCAGTATCCGACACGGATTTTTTAAAAAATCGTATCCTATCATTGCTATGCTGCTGTCTGAAGTTAACTTAGGGCCTGATCCTGCGCCCATAAGCATCAAGGGCAGCAGGATTGCATCCTTGGTTATGTCTGTCTCATACACTGGTTTAGCAGCTCCCCCCTCTCTTCTTCCCAGTCTATAGATATGTCTCTGAAATACATGTACTTACCTGCTAGGAAGTAAATTGCATAGACGTAGCTGCCCGTCCTGCATCCTCCCAGTGTACAGGTACAACCACAGCTTACTCAGCATTGCACCCAGCAAAGAAACATTGCCCCCCTAATTCAAAGTGTCTTTAGATAGTCCCAAAGTTTTAATGTAATAAGGGTGTCTTATTTTGTTGGAAGGCAGTGTCTTTTGATAACAGTTATCTAGCCCTGGAAGTGACACAGAACTATTGCTAATCATATGTAAACACTTTTCAGTATAAGCTTCAGTGGTACAGTTGAACCAGAGTGAATGTTTATCTCCTCAGAAACACTCCTGCAATATTGTTATATTGGATCATGCTGCTAATGTAACTTGGGATAAAACTCCTCTCATGGTGCTACAAACCTCCCTGTCTCATTCAGATGTATTTTTACCCATAGAAAAAAAGGACTATACTAGACCTATAGTTGTATGATATATTTTTATACTGTGACTTAATTTGTCATTAATGAACTTTGTACAACACCACAATGTATTCATATGCACTTGCAAAAGTAAAATTTTGGACATGCAAATTTAAACGCTGACAGCCCAGCTCTTGTTCACAAAAGTAGAAGATGACTGTTAGTTAAAATAAAATGTGGGCTTTTTATATGGTGTGGAGTGAAGAACATGCTATATGTTACTAAAAGCCTTTGACGTTACATAAAATCTGGGAAGGTATATGGGGAATGATGACACACCCAAACCCTACTCGGATTGCTGAAATTATATTTTTAGCTAGTGAAAAAATTGTTTGGACTTGTATGCTAAAATGTTTTAATGATAAAAGTTTTGAGTCAAAAATAGAGAAAAATGAACACAGAAAACCCTGCATTCCAGACTGAATTTGTATATGTTTCTTGCATTTAAAATTTGCTATCCTGTGATATGGGAAATCGAGTTGCTTATCATGTATATGTACTTTAAAATGTATTCACAAACTACTGTTGTATTTGTATAAAATATAGACAAAAAGATTGCATATATATTTTTGTGTATAAGCTCTGTAAAATAGCAATCACATTATGAAGCTGCAGCAGAACTTCATTTTAAACATTCACATCCAAAGAAACAGACTATTTATTGTCCACATACCCTGATTATAAAATATACCTTGCTGCTATTAAACAATAGTGCTGCAGCTTCTTGTGGCCTACAGTGTTATGTTTGCTGTACAAAAATATGTGAACTCCACAAAATATATCAATAAAATTACAGAATGGTTTTAGTTAATGAATAACTTATGCCTGGCATTTTAATAGATAATCGTGATCTGCATGTTTGGAAGTACATTAAGTAATTTTAGAATACAGGAATTACAGTAAGTAATAATAGACTACATCCAGTTTGCTGGGTGTAATTACTTTGATTTTGCAAAGATATAACAGTGTTTCTAATTTATGACTGGTAAAATGTCAATTTTTCAGAAAATCTTACAGCATAAGTATCTGCATTTCATGATTTCACCAAGGAACAAATTGGATGATGCTAATTTATCTGTGACAAGACAAATCTGAATTGAGAGACGCGATTGAGCTTGCCATCGAATTGCACTTTGGAACTTGCTGTGAGAAATTCTAAGGTGAGTTTTGGGGTTTTCGCGGTGGGATTGGTCATTTGGGAGAAGCAGGTGAGTGGTTCTCCGTCATTTTACATTACTGGAAGTGACTTACGTTGATAGTTGCAGTTTTGTGGTAAGTTAAGGAGGGTGGCATGTGTGGGACAGCGTGTGCAGCTCTAAATGTTACTCTAAGAAACTTCTTTGCATTGCCTTGTCCCACAGAGCTGCTGTGTGCCGGGACCGGGGCGGTCGAAGCCTTTCTGCGAAGTCTGGATCCAGCGCGGTGAGAGCAGAGCTGCCCATGCCGACCTGCGGGCTCTGTGCTGCTTCCATGCAGTTGTTTCACTAGCACAGGCTCCTTGCCAGGAAAGTAAGAGCCTGGCATTTGCCGTGTGGCTGCTTGGAAATGCTGTTTCGTTTGCTTTCATGACTGTATTTTGTTAATATCCTTAGCACTGTCTGTGTTTGCCTGATTTTGAGTTCTGCTCTTCAGATTCTTTAGATTTCTTCCTGTACCCCAGTCTGAGATAAATTATTGTTATAAGGAATTGTTGGATTTTGCCTTCTCCCCACAAGGATTTTTTCCTCTGAACAGACCACTTCAGTGTCGCAGGTGTCTAGCTTGTTGGGGAGGGTTGACCATACTATCTTCAACGTGAGCCACACGCTCTGTAGATGCAGGAGGATGAGGTTCCTGTTGTCATTGCTCCAAATTTGCTTGATTGGTATAGAAGGAAGATGAAGAAGAATCCACAGTAGACCATGGAGGTATTAGAGGCTCTGCAAAACCATTTATTTCCCCCACAGACAGAAAACCACCCCGTTGTCTTGTTATCATTGCTGGCCTTGTCCCCGTTGCTGAATTAGCACATCCTCCTTCCACACCAACAGCGCCTGGAAACCTCACCAGTCTCTGTGATAAGCAGAAAACAGCCACATGAATGGATGATACCTACGTTATATCGAGAGATAAATCTGGGCTGAGCCCCTCTAGAGCATCCCCTGTTACCTTCAAGGCTTTCTTCCAAGATGTAGAGGAGGATTTGAATATGGATTTTTGTTTTGTCCAAAAAATAAAATTCTAACCATGACTAGAACCTTGAGTCTTCTTGCCATCATGTGAACTAGCAGGATCCAACAAGGAAGGGTATTTCATGTATTTTCCTTTCAACTTAGTGTTACTGCTTCAAAGCACAACTGAATTCTTCCCTCTCTAGTAACCAAGTGGGTACAAAGTCCAGGTGTCCCATCTTTATTCCTGGAAGAGTAGAGACAATAAAATGGTAAGTTAAGGATTTTTCTTGTGTGGTAAGGTCCTCTCAAGCTCTGTTGAGTTCATTTTCTCATCTTGCTTCTTTCCTAGGGAAGGAAACGGGTTATGCAGTGTTGAAAAAGACAGCTGGAAAGATCAACGAAGTTGTACTGAACCGCAAGCATTTTCCCCCCTTTTCTCTCCCTTCTAGCCACCCTTCCAAAACTCACATTTGGAAATGCAGTACACAGGCGACATCTTGAGTGAAGAATGAGACTCCAGTGTCCTTCAGGAATGGGAAAGACCACTCTAG